GGCGGCCGCGCTCTGTCATTTGCATCCCAATGGAGCAGTCGCGAGTCCCCCCGCGGAACGTGCCGTCGCGCCGCGAGGCCTTTTCCACAGAAAGACATCCACCAAGGGCAAGCGAAAAGCGACCCCCCCTTCATTTGAACACCACCATCTTTACGGCCAAGTCTCCGACGTGGTTGCCGAAGAGCTGGGCATGGAGCCCATCTGATTGAGCAGGCGCTTGCTCTCTGCCGAGGAGGAATGGCGGGGAAGAAAGCACCACAAGGCACCGGCTGATAGAAAAACAGAACGGATGGCGGCGGCGTGCATAGTAGATGGATACGGAAACAACATTCTTCCAAAAATTGACCCTCGTTGCTCTCAATGCAGTTGCTTCTCTGTTCTGCAATCACTATCATTGCGCCATCACATATCGCTTTTGTGTTAATAACGCCTTGTCATAAGTGCAATAGCCACTGTAATAAATTGACATAATAACCTATTATATCGTCGCCTGTTGAGTCAGATATATATATATATATATATATATATATATATATATATATATATATATATATATATATATATATCCCACGTTGTCCACAAAATATTAAGTGATGCCATGCCTGTGGAAAAAAAATATCTTGCTTACATACCGTTGCGTATATTCAATCATTCGAAGTGAAGGTCATCACACTGACTGCCTCAGTCCATATGACGCTTACGAAGGCAAGGCGTTTCCAATAGAAACGTAATATGTTATGTGTAACACCATGTAACACCACAATGTCAAACCAGAATAAAAATGTGATTTTTGTCGTTAATCAAAACAATTGAGTTCAGTAGAACAAGGGGCTATTCCACATTGAGTTAGTTGCGATATTGGGGGTTTCACTAGAACATTTCATTATTAACTCAACATTAACGCAGTGCATTTCCAATTTATAAACATAATACATTGGCGAATAAGCTTATACTGGATTTAAACAACATATTACACTAAAAGAATAATATTTGAATTTAATGCTAATAACTCAATTACACAAAAAATGTGGGACAGCTCTTTGTTTTACTAAGCCCTTCAATTCTAAAAGACACAGAATATTATTTTTCAACTGCAAGTTAATGTGAAAAAAGAGTAAAAAAACACACAAGTATTAATAAAAATTCTATACATTGGAGGCAAAACTACAAATAAACAAGTAGAAGTATCAAGAAATATTATTTTCAAAAAGTGTAAATTTTTCCTTGCTTTATGCTCTATCTCACCTGAATGGTCCAAGCTTTGACCTCGTCGGCGCCTGCAGTGAAAAAGTACTGCAGCTGCAGTGCCTTGTAGCCCTGTACGATGATTTTCTCCAGAGCACTGTGAAAAAAATAAGGGCGTTAGTTCGTAAAGAAGTGAAACGGTATATGACAATGGAAATATCAATGGACGTGACAGTTCACAACTTTGGCACTTTAACATAAACAGATAGACAATCCACATGTTTTTGAAATTACGAAGCAGCTCGTAGAAGCTCTTCAGGGAAACATGCTTTGGAACAACGCGTTTCGGCGTGAGAACGTCATTTAAACGAAAAACTGCGATACCTTCTCTCCTCGCCACCAAATAATAATGAAGAGAAATAAATAACACATCAGAGACACAAAAACATGAAAGTTTCCTGATCAAACGTAAAGTCTCCAAAGGCTACCGGTTGCTTTACGTGTGGAGGAAAAAGTAGTGACGACGTCGTAATAACATGTTATTTGGTTAATATTTTTTTGATTCCATAATTATCACCCACAAAAACTGCGTACGGTATTTTAGGGGAACGGTCACGAAATGATTCCATACCATAATACTGTCATGTACGCAAACTTCCCGAGAGATATTTTTAAAGTACAACATTTCTATGTGGAAACGAAATCACATAATTTTGTGTCACGTGAGCCAATCGACCGTTTCTATACCAGGTATGATGCAACACGTAATAGAAGATGTAGATAGAACAAGATGTTAATAGAATAAATACAACATACATTTAAACCAAGGTGTTCTCCATATTGACATCACGGCGTGCTTACTGATGAGCAACCAGTGAATGGTTAAAGGCCAGCGAACCAGCTTACCTATCGGCATTCCAAAAATGGTTTGGGTTTTCACTTTCACAATAAAAATACTTTCTTACTTATGTGAAATGACTTCTCGAGAAATCAGGTTGTGATTTGGTTGAACCTTACCAATACAAAACCAAGGCGACACCATGTTTATGTACATATTATCATGAATTGAAAGGGATTTCAACGACTGATTTTCACTTCAATGTCGTGAAATTTTCTATATGTTTCTACATGATTTGTTAAAACAACTAGTGCTGCTAACAAAGCAAAGATAGACAGACGTTTTGCCTTCAATCGATATTTCGGTATCAAGGACCCACAAACATGGTTTCTTCCTACATGTATTATATTTTTATCTATATTTATTAAGATTTTCGTTACCAGGGCCCGGCAATAGGTTTTTCTGACAAAAATACGGCCTTCATCGGCGCACGATTACGTCACTTTCTCTTCTTACGAAGTAATTTCGTAAGGACGAGAAAGTAAAAACGCAGCAAATGCCAAATTGATGCCAATTGCAGTATAAGCAGAAATTAGCTTTGGATTCGTAAGAATTATATTCAGAATTTTCAGCAATCGCACTTCGATATTGTTACTGAATTAGATATTAAAAATAAATAAATATTTTTATTTATCTTTTTATTGATCAAGGGAAAGTTAAAAAGGTGGATTAACTCGGATGTAGGGAAGAATGACAGTAATCAGAGGATGACAGATGGTGGAGGTTGCATTAGGTCGGACATTTTGAAACACTTCCACCGATTCGTAGTCGTAGGCTTCCGCGACCAGAGTCATGTGGGTGATCTGGGCTGTCCGGGTGACGCCACGTCGAAGGCTGAGTTGCCGACGTTTCGACCATGGTCGAAACGTCGGCAACTCAGCCTTCGACGCGGCGTCACCCGGACAGCCCAGATCACTCACTTCCACCGATTCGTTGTTCTAGAGCCTTGAGGCCTTTACCAAAGAAGAACAATGAGTGGTACTATTTAAGACGGAATGAGTCATGAAGCAATGTTGCAATGAAATCTAGGTGAAAGGGGAACCCAGAGAAAACAGCCAGAAAAAAAAATCACCTGATCCGACTGGGATTTGAAGCCTGTTGCCCTTAATGATGCGTACTCGCTTCGGATCGTCTCAGGGAAGCCCTTTCGACGTGGGTTAACAACTAAGGCATTCGTCGAGGGCCCCTGCCCTCCGCGTGACTCTCCGCATTTTACACCCCGAGGCAACGTCGCCAGCCTCCGCGCAGTGGCCCTTAATACACAATGCAAACCTGAACATAAGCATGGCGTTGACATAAAAGTTAGGACTACATCCACAAGCATAAGCATAACACGTAAGGCGCTGCCATAAGGAATGAACCAATCACAGTACCGTAACTGAAAATCGAGAATCGAAAGGAATCCATTTGGGCCATGGGCATAGTCGATATCTCGAAATCGATTTTAACACACAACCAATATTATTCTAGAATGTCTCACAGCCAATAGAAACTCTTATTTTGTTTACGTTTATGTTGAACATTTTGAATACTTCAGTCACTTAGGTTAATGTTTACGTCTATATTGTGAAGCTGTTTCAGAGATATACGCAAAAAACGCAAATTTGTGACCTTTGACCTCGAATAAAAACAACGCACAAGCGGGATCGATGGGGACTTTTGGACATATCATTTGTAACGACGTATTCAAGACCTGCACAAAAATCAGCTTGTTGGGAATTAATGCAAACTGGAATGTCTAATTAGTTATGCTGGACTA